GCTCTGGCCTCGGCCGCCGCGCTGGAGGCGCGGCTGGAGGAGGAGCGGGGAGTGGGGGCCACGCTGCGACAGGTGCTTGCTTGTATTTTTTTGTTTGGGCGGGGGTGGGTGGGGGGGTGAGTGTTGCAATATGACTCATGAGAGCTCCGATTGCGGCCCTGCAGTGCCGGACCTCTGCAACCATGATAACATCACCACATCCCCTCTTTACCCCTTCAAAACAGGAGCTGGAGGTCGCGGCCCGGGACGCGAGGACGGCCAGCGCCGACGCGGCGGCCGCCGCGGAGGAGCTGGGCCGGCTGAGGCGCGTGGCCGGGGAGGACGCGGCGCTGGCAGGGTCGCGTGCCGGGCGCCTGCAGCAGGAGAATGAGGAGCTGTACGCGGTGAGGAGGCTTGGGAGGGGGGAAGTAGAGGCAGTGGGGGGCGGGAGGGCAGCACATCTGGTGCTGCAGGGCACCAGACTCCTGTCTGGCGGGGGCCTCCACCGGGCATGGGCCTCCCCCCCCCAACCCATCTCTGCAAGACACGACACCGCCTTGCATGCCTGGGACCAGAAAGGGTGCCTACGCCAACACCAAGACCCACGCGGCCACCAAGGGCTAGTCATGGAGGCTCAGCAACCTCCTCTGCAAATATCTGTCCGCACCCTTTGGTACGCACTGCCTACTCACCTTTCCCCCACAACAACCCCCAAATCGCAGACCGTGCAGGTGCTGCGGCGAGATGGGGACACGCTGCGCGCCGAGCTGGCAGCCCAGACGGTGACCGTCGCAAAGTACAAGCGCATGGTGGGCGAGATCTCGCGCCTCATCGACTGGGCGCAGTGCGGTCTGGGACGGCGAGCGGGGGAGGGTGCCAAGCCGGGTCTTGCCAGGTGTGGTTGGTGTGGGGGGGTGGAGGGGCTGACGAGTGCGATGGGCGCTCCACCTCCTATTCTTCGTGCATGCAGGGGCTGATCCCCTAAAAGGATGGTGTTGAGCAAGCGGACCAAGGTGCACCCCAAAAACAAAACAAAAAACCTCATCCACGTCAAGCAGGATGTCGGTGGCTTCCGGGTGCCTCCCGCCGCCACCGCACCAAGCGCTCAAGGACGCCGCCAGCCGAGAGAATGCTGGGGAGGAGGAGCTGGGGAAGCCGGGCATGCTGGCCCTTGATCCTGCCGCGGTGCCATGCCCCATCCCCCGGGAGTGATCATGTGGGCGCACCAAGGAGAATGCCTGAGAGTGTCTCCTTCTCACTTTGACCCTCTATGCGGGCGTCCCCGCGAGAGGAACTTCAATCCTAGTGCATGGCCCCTGTCTTTTTTTCAGGATGTCACCCCGCCTGCACCATTTACACGCCATCGAATGTTTGTTGTACAGATATTTACACACACACACACTCTGTTAGGGAGAGCGGCCAGTGCTAGGCAGGAGGGGGATGTCTTGGGCAGGATGCGCCAGCAGAGGACATGCCGATCCTCTGCCCTCATTAGATACCTATTATGCCATCACCTCCTCACCAGGGACCGGGCGAGCGCCAGCTGGCGACACAGGGATGCGCGCCCCCTCCAGACCCTGGGAGCGGCGGAACCCCAGCAGGCCGCCGGCGGCCTCTGCTGCTGCCGCGCCGGGCGCGGCCTCGCCACCCGATCCGTCGGGTGCGGGGCCACTGGGCGGCAGACGATGCCCGGGGTCAACGAGTCGTCACCCCTGGACATGCTGGGGTGGGCGGCGAGAAAGTCCTGGCACGGCTTCCACCAGGCGGGGGGTGGGGAGCGAGGTGGTCGGCGAGACTCGTCAAACCTGCAGTTTTGAGGAAGGGGTCTGATGGGGTGGGTGGGTGGAACATCGCCACGACGCTCCGGCTCAAGTCTTGAGAGGCCACAGCAAAAGGTCCCCAAGCTCATGCTCGGCTCAGTGGTCTGACCCCTTGCTCCCGACCCTCCCCCCACGTGCCCCTCACCAGATCTGGACGTCCCTGCCAAACCCCGCCAGGGGCCGCTCGGCGCTCGGGTACTGCCGCACGTCTACCCCCGCCACCGCCGCCTCGACGTCGTCCACTGGAAAAGGCTGGAAAGGGTGCGCCTCCTCCATGTGCGCAACCTGGGCCTGCGACAGCGCGGTCAGCGCGGCCAGCGCCTCGGCCTCGGCGACCTTGCAGGCGCGGTATGCCTCCTCGGCAAGCAGCACATGGGCCGCCGGCGGCTGGCCATCGGCCCGCGCGGCGGTGACGGGCTGCGTGGCGGCCAGCCTCACCCGCGCCAGCTCCTTGTTGGCTGTTGGTGGGTGTGTGTATGGCGGGGGGGGGGATTGAAGGTCTAAGGGCACAACATGAGGCTCGGGAGATGGGTGATGCCAAATCCCGCCCCGCCCCTCATACCTCTGGGTGATGAGTACTGGATTACGCATCCCGCAGTAACAACGCTGGATAATGCCACCAAATTTCTCCCCTCCCCACCCCACCAGCCCACTTACCAGCCGCGATCTCGGCGCCGATGCGCTGGCACGTCGGGCACAGCGCGTAGACGTGGCGCAGGGCCGCGCCCTGCCCGTCGTCCATGAGGTGCTGCAGCGCGCTGGCCGCAAACTGCCTGCCGCTGAGCGGCAGCGTGGCCAGCGCGCACGCCGCCGGGATCAGGGGCTGCATGGAGGGGCTCTGCGGCGAGGCCGGCGGCGGCGGGAGGGGCAGCGCAGGGGCCAGGTCCTCGTCCCTCGGGCGTTTGCTGGGGGCGGCAGGGCTCTTTGCTGGGGGCGGAGTCCGGGGCGCAACGGCACTCTCCATGTCCATCGCTGGGGGCCGATTGTTTCTAGATCCGTGCGCTTTCTCATCCAACTCCGCGTCGGCGCCACCTGGCTGGCGTGCCGCGCCATTAGGCCTCGCCGCCGCCTGGTCCCTCTTCAGACCGTTCCTTGCCAATCGCCCGGCGCCGAGCGCCGGCTGGGCACCCTCCGGCCCGCACGACTCCCCGCCAGCCATACCCCGCTCGGCGCCCTCCCCCTCCTCCGCTCCCTCCTCGCCGTCCTCCACCGCCGCCTGGCCGTGCGCGAGGCTGGCCACCAGGCCCAGGATCGTAGGCGCCGCCAGGTCGTAGGTGAAGCGGTAGTCTTGCACCCGTCCGCGCGCATACATGTTGATCACCCACTCCAGGCCGGCGATGTAGCGCTCCGCGTCGGGCGCGCCCAGGAAGGCGAGCGTGGGGCGCGCCGCGCGCTCCGCCAGCGGGCGCGGGATGGGCTCCGGGGCCGGGCCCAGCGCCCAGGCGCCCTCGCCGCCGGCGCCGGCCGCCGGGCGCGCTGCGCGCGCCGCGCTCCGCGTCGGCCCGCCGGCCAGGACGCGCTGCTGGTAGGAGCGCCAGAGCAGGGCGGCCAGGGTCGCGCGGTCCAGCGTCAGCGCGCCGGAGCGGCCGCGCCGCGCGAGGTGGCAGGGGCCGACGGCCGAGCGCCGGCGCCGCAGGTCCAGCAGCAGGTCCCAGAGTCCGGGCCGGTCGCCCCCTTTCAGCACCAGGCCCTGTCTTGAGGTGGGTTGTGGATGTGTCCATGGAGGGGTGGTGCATCGATGCGCAGGCATGTTGGCGTGACAGCGGACCGGGCTGCGGGGCGGGACCCTTGGTTGGTCCAGAGTCAAACCCGTTCCTGGTTTCCCCCTACCCAACCCAGGCTCGCCTGGATGGCGGGCAGGTAGTCATTGCCGGAGGTCAGCACTGCCAGCAGGCACAGGTCCAGGCCCAGCCGCGCCACATCGGCGTGGGGCCCCCAGACGTTGGCCAGCGCGGCGCGGGAGAAGACGGTGAGCTGGTCCGCCGGCGCCCCCAGGTGCGGGATGTCGGCGTCGGCTGCGATGAAGACGGACGGGCGCGGCGCCACCAGCGCGATCAGGTACAGGTCGCTGTCCCCGCCCAGGATCACGTGGGTGTCGCCCGGGGTGGGGGCGCCGCGCCCGCCACCCTGGTCCTGCAGCTTGGCCAGCAACTTCAGCTCGCCCTCGCCCTGAATGGCAAGGTGGGGGGAAGTGTGGAGGAGGGGGGGCTTGCGAGAGGGTTGGGTGGCGGGCCCCTCGCCATCGCAGAGCAGGCAAGACAGACACGCAGTATCCGATCGAAACAGCATGGTGAGATGATCAAGAATCAGATGCATCGCCAGCCTGTGAGAAGACATCCTGCCCAGAGCACAGGAGCAGAATACCCCCCTGCTTTAAACCTACTGTGGAGCATCCAGTCCTTAAACAGGAGCTCTTCTCTGATCTTGCAAGCATGCAACATGTCCCGGGTAGCAACCATTCAAATCCCTCACCTGGACTGTGGAGTCGGAGAACTCGAAGACGAGGCCCCGATTGCGTGGGTTGGCCAGCCGCCGCGCAATGTAGATCAGGAGGGAGGCGTGCACGCTGAGCATGAAGGGCGTGCCCGCGGTGAGGGCCAGGGGGGACAGGGAGGCCTCGCTGCCAGGTTCACCGGCCTCAGGCACCTCGGGCGCGACCTTCATCTTGGACCTGCGCCGCCTGTGCGGGATGGGGGAGGGGCCAGGAGGGCTGGGACAGCGTGAGCGCTGGGCTGATCCTTACCAATTTCATGAGTGGTCACCTCAAATGCCTGGCTTTCCCAACAAGCCAATCGTTCAGGGCCTCACCAGCACGCCACAGTCCTGATCCCAGGCCACCCCATCCCAGCGATCTGACCTCTGCTCCAGGAGCTTTGCAAGGGGCCCGGGCCCATCCAGGGCCAGCACCACCCTCTTGCATGGACGCAATCTGGCTAGATAGTTGTCGAGGCGGCTGTGCAGGCGGCGATGCAGCTGTGCAGGGGTGCGGGACTTGCGGAGCACCGTGTGGAGGGTGGAGGCCAGGTCCACGTACAGGTGGTCCACCCTCCTGCCCCGCTCGAAAGGGACGAAAGCCTCAGGGTACTCCTTCCTGACCCAGGAATTAAATCCTGGGATGCCCATGGCGAGGAGTGGGTGGTACGTTGGGCTGCCATGGAGGGGCATTCATATAGGTGATGTCGGAGGGCATGGACATCGATCGCTGCCAGCTCACCATCACACGCGCTCGCGCATCAAAATCGAGGACTCGTTAATATGAAGAGACTGGCGCTCCCAGCGATTGAAGTTTATATACAGGTGCCATACGATACGTAGTTTTGTCAGCATCTGTGCTGCTGGCAGGGTAACAAGGCTTCTGTGGGCAAGGGCAGGCGCTGGTGGGAGTGGTCACCCAACCACCGCTCCGTGATGCAACTAATACGATCGGCTGTGGCCGAGGTGAAGAAGATGCAGAAGAGGCAGCTCCTGCTACAAGGAGTGAACCTCGGTACGCTGGCCCAACCATTGCGCAGCTCCTTGTGTCTTTCTGAGTATATGATCGATCTGCATTGGAATTAGAACTCCTCCAGGCTGCTCCCACCCACCCCCATCCTGCAGGCCTCATCATCACATCTGCCCTCATGATCTGGAAGTTCCTTGTCCTTGTCACTGGCAGCGAGTCTCCGGTGAGGCCCAAAGGGCAGGGGTGAGGCTGGGCACCTGCCAGGCATAGCCACATGTGGAGGGGGGTGCACTCAGGATGATCCCCAAGGTGCCCTCTCCACCGCTCCGTTCCCCGGCGGTCCACCCCCCACCACCCTCCCGGCACCTCCTCGAGCAGATTGTGGTGGTGCTGAGCGGGAGCATGGAGCCGGGATTTTACAGGGGCGACATCCTGTTCCTGGACCAGCCCAAGGGCCCCATCGAAACCGGAAACATCATCGTGTTCAACGCCGGGGACCGCGAAATCCCCATCGTCCACCGCATCATCAAGGTGCACGAGCGGCACAACAACATCAGCGCCGTCGACATCCTCACCAAGGTGTGGCTCGGCACGGTGAATTTGAGATGCTCTGCCATGCTGGTGTCACGAGAGCTGGAGGCATGAAGCGGGGTGCTCCTTGAGTACCAGGGCCACTCCCTCATTTCGGCTGCTATGCCATGCTCATCCTTTTCGAATGCCATGCAGCCTCGCGATGTCCCCCTCCATTTCGTCGCCCCAATTCCCCCCAAATCCCAACAATCAATCCCCAGGGTGACAACAACTGGGGCGACGATCGGTCGCTGTATCCCCGGGGCGTGCGGTGGCTGGGCAGGCACCACATCATGGGTCGTGTGATTGGCTATCTGCCCTACATAGGCCAGGTGACTATCATCATGAATGACTACCCCATTGTCAAAGTGCTGCTCATCGCGGCTCTGGGCCTCTTTGTCATCACCAGCAAGGAGTGACGCGGCTGGGATGAGAGGGCCGGGCCTTTGCTGTGTGGGGTGCTGAGCAGGCACCCTTGTTCACCGTGTAAAGGCCCTTCCAGGACAGGACGGTTCGCTCAGCTGGCAGCATTGAGTATTCATTTCATTACAGTGGGTGACCCGACAGGCACAGAGAGGATTGAGTGGGATGAATATGGTTCCGGTAATTTGGGAGGGAGGCTGATAGCATGTCCCAAGCGAATGGAGGATGGCATTCCCAACATCCTGAAACATGGCTACTTTGCAGATGGTTCATTCAGGGGGTGCTGAATCAGTACAGGGACGCCAGGGTTTGATGCGTGCATTCTACATGCTCTCGAGACGGTACATCCCGAGGCTGAGTCGTCTACCCGGCCCCACCCACCGCCAGGGCACCCTCACTCCCAGGGCGCCCGGATGTGCGCCACCGCCGCCTGCCGCGCCTGGGGCCCCAGGGCATGGCTCCCCTCCGACGGTGCCGGCCGCCGCTCACGGCGCGGGCCGCCCCCGGCCCGCCTCGCCGCCGCCTCGCCGTCGCGCCGGCCGGCCGGCGCCCCCCGCGCCAGGCGCTCGGCCCTGGCATCCAGCTCGGCGAGCTCGGCGTCCCGCCCAAGGGCCTTGGCGGCCTCCGCGGCGGTGTTCAGCGAGCCCAGGTCCGGGGCGGGCCAGGCCGGGTCGGCGTCCATGCGACGCAGCGTGTGCAGCACGGCCCCCGCCTCCCCAAGCGCCATGTACACCGCCATCAGCGCGTTCCAGAGGCCCACCTCGGGCACCCTTGGCGGCGGCGGCGGCGGCCGGGCCAGGGCGTCGTGCCGCGCGTCCGCGGCCCTGCGCAGCGCGCGCAGCGCAAACGGCGCGGCGCGCGCGAACGTGGCCTCCGCCAGTCGCCGCACCCAGCGGCGCGCAGCGGGGTCGGGCAGGCGCGGGCGCGCTCGGCGGGAGAGGCGCACGAACCCCACCCGGTTGGTGTAGGGGGCGTGGCTGTGCGCGGGGCTGTCCTCGCCCAGCGCCGCCGGGGGCCCGGTCTCGGTCTGGCTCGACTGGCACGCCGCCCCGCCGACATCGACCACCCCCCTTGGCCCCGCCGGCCAGCCGTACTGCAGGCAAGACAGCGCGGCCGCAGCCAGGGGGCCACGCAGTGGCACGCCGCGGCGGCGCGCCATGCGCAGCACGGCGCGCACGGCGGGCACGCCGCCGTCCACGCGCGAGAAGGCGTTGAGCACCGAGGTCAGCAGCCGCGCGTCGATCCGCAGGCCGTGCCCCGCCTCCAGTGCGGCCGCCAGGGCCTCCACGCGGGCGGGGGAGCCCGCCTCGCAGTACTCCAGGAGCAGCGCCCGGCGGTGCCAGCGGTTGGGCGGCGTGGGACCTGTTGTGTGAAGTTAAGGGGGTCTGGGGCCGGGGTTCATGGCCACCGCCAAAGAGGGGCGGCGTGGCCTGGTGTCAGGGTTAGGCGCGGAATGGGAGTCCTGGTCCCTCGAGATGCTCCCCCGCCCCCCCCAGCCCCCACCCTCCTACACCGCGCACCCTCCCGCATCTCCCGCAGCACGGCCAGGCCCTCCTCCGGCTGCCCCGCCCCGCCGTGCGCGCGCAGGAAGCGCATGCCCAGCTCGCCGTCCAGCGGGATGCCGTCCTGCGCCATGCCGGCGCGCAGGCCCGGCAGCAGGTCTGCACGCCCCGTCAGCGCGCACGCCCGCACCGCCATCATGTACATTCCGGCGTGGGTGTCCGCGGCCGGTGCGGCGCCCGCGTCGGCGGCTGGCGTGGCGTGCGGACCCCTCGCCCCCTCTCCCTCCCCCTCCCCGACACCCGCCCGCAGCGCCTGGCGCCTGTGGCCGCGGAAGGCGGCGAGCGCGGCGCCGGGCAGCCCCGCGCGCATGCAGGCCGCCATGACCTGGCCGACGGCGAAGCGGCTGGCCTCACCCACCCCAGAGCGCTGGACCTCGGCCAGCACGGCGGCCGCGCCCGCCGCGTCCTGCGCGCACGTGAAGGCGCGGAGGAGGGCAGTGACCACAAAAGGTGAGGCCAGGAGGGCGGGGGACTCGCGGAGCAGGCGGCGCCAGTGCGCCAGCGCCGCGCCCGGGTCGCCGGCGGCGCCGGCCGCCTCGCAGTACTTGGCAAAGGTGTGGGGGTTGGCCGCGCCCCGGCCCCGCATCCACTCCAGCAGCCGGAGGGCGAGGCGCGCCTGCTGCCGCTCGCCCAGCACCTTGAAATTGGGGGGGGGGGGAGGAATGGGGGAAGAGTGTGTGTGGTGGGGGGGGTTGGGGGTGATGCGCCAAGCATAGCGGTATGGGAAGCATTATGCGAGGTGCTTCACAGCAACTCCACGTGCCTGTTGCGATAAGGAGGCTAGCAAGTAGAGAACTTTGGAGACTCACACCGCACCGCCGCAATCTGCTCCTCGCACTCAGGCCGGTATTCATCAAAGCAAAAAAGTCCCCCCTCCCCCGCAATGAAGACCGTCACCTTGATCACCCAGTTCAGCGTGTGGGTGGGAACGGTGCTCAGGTAGGCTTCGTCAAAGAAGCCGGACAGCAGGTGAGCCACGACCTCGCCCTGCCAGATCTTGGGTGGCTGCCTGTATGTGGCGCCGATCTCGAGGCCCAGGTCGTCGAGATGATCATTGTGAACGTTGGGACACGGCGCTGTGGTGTGCTGGCCGCCCTCCGCATTGCGCAGCTCGGGTGAGAGGAGGTCCTCGTGCCAGGTGGACCTGAAGTCGGCTTCGAGACGCTCAAAGGTACTGGCGGCCAGGGGGGGTGAGCTGCGCGCCCGGTACCCTGGGAGGCCATGCAGACCCCTTCGAGTGCCAGACTTGGCGGTCCTGACGAATGTGCAGGTGGTCGCGCCCTGGACCGGGAGTAAACAGGAGACACGCCCACATGGCACCGCGCGCATGATGGATCGATTTCGCTGCAGGATTCCGTCGGTATCAACGCGGGCGCGTCATTGAGCGTCTCTCTGAGTTTCTGTCCGAAATCAACAGAGGAGTTCAAGGCCCTGAGCACCTCCGTTTCTCCTCGGCGAGCCAGACCTCGTAGTAAGATATTTTATAATAATTGTAATACACTGCAGAGCCTAAAGTACCTGCACAGTGGCCCTACGCTAACGCATCGAGACTCGGTCGCGCATAGCTGGCTCTCGGCCTGCCGTGCTTTGCCACGTCAGAAGGACGTCGACGTGAGATTACATTCGACCATCTACTGAGCATGCATGACCTCACTAGCATTCGTTGAATAATAAAACCGCAATGTGTGGGTCCCACGGGGTGCGATGCATGTCCCTAGCCATCGATGCCTGTGCAACCTCTCGTGCCTGTAGAGATGGATGCTCCATGAGAACGATAGCCATTACAAGCATACGGTCCCCAACTTTATGCATTACTTTATACTCATGTTCCATTTCAAAAAAAACCATACTGCTTTTGAAAACGGAAAGAGTAGAGCAGGTTTAGTTTAAGCCTTCGGAAAGCGGTACACGACTGTACATCCTCAATCACATGTCTCGGCAAATCGGATCCTGACCCTTTCCAGATCGACATCAGAGCAAGGTGCTTGAAGGTCGTCAAACCACGGTGTCCAAGCAAATAAACCAGCATTCTGATCAACATGGCGACCTGTGCTCTTGGCAGCGCCCTGTACAGGCCGGCCACGCAGTTCCGGGCGAGCCCTGCTCCACCCTCGCGTAGGTCGACCGTCCAGGTCCATGCTCGCGGCACATGGTACCCAGGTATGGAGGACGTTGATGCCGAAGATGCACGTTCTGAATTCACCTCCTTGTCGGGACCATGACCGACACACCACCTACGAGCAGGTGCCAAGCGCCCCAAGCACCTGGACGGCAGCCTGCCCGGTGACTATGGATTCGACCCGCTGAGGCTGGGTGTCAAGCCGGAGCTCCTGGCTTACTATCGTGAGGGCGAGCTCACGAACGGACGCTGGTGAGCCTCATTAGCCTATCAAGGGACCAGATGGGGAATCTGTTTTTGGGAGGTATTGGATATCCTGCATAGATGCAAGGGTCCTCCTTCCTGTGCATAGGTTGCAGCTCCATACACCCTACCTAATGCTTGTTCATGCTTGAGCCACTCCACACATACTTGTTGCCATGGCCACTCCACCGTGTTTCAGATGGTTTGTCAAGCTTGCTCACTCACCTGGAACCTCTGCCAGGGCAATGGCGGCTGTGGCTGGAATCCTGTTCACAGAGGCAGTCGGTCTGCCCCCCTGGTGGAAGGCGGGGGCGGAGCAGTACCCCATCGACAACAAGACCCTCATCCTTGTAGAGATTGCCACGTTTGCGGTGCTGGAGGGCCTGCGGGCCCGGGGCTGGGAGAAGACCGGCGAGGTGCGGGTCCTGAAGCAGGCAACGGTGTTTGAGTTGTGTTACCTGTGCAAAGGACGGAAAGGGGAGAGTGTGGTAGCCGGGCATGTTTGATGGGCCCGATGGACAACAAACGCAATGTTCCGCCCCGTGTGCAGTCCGGCGCATTTGGGATGCACCCCTTTGACCCCGCCAAGCTCCTGAGCGACGAGATGCGCGAGAAGGAGGTCAAGAACGGCAGGCTTGCGATGGTGAGACCTGAGTTTGGATGTGGTGGCTCTCAAAGGCTGGCTTGAGTTGGAAACATGAGTGCACGATCGAAGCCGCAGCAACAATCGACAACATCATCATGCTGTCTTTGACCGCTCTCATCCAATTCACCCTCTGCTCAATTCCAGGTGGCACTGGTTGGGTTTGCATCCCAGGCAGCGGTCTGGGGCAAGGGCCCCATCGAGTCCCTGCAGTACCACCTTGCTGATCCCGGGCACCACAACAGTGAGTGGTTTCTGGGATCAAATAGGATGCAGACTCTGCTGATTTCAACTTGATTTGCATCTGCCCCTTCACTAATAGCGGCAACTTGAGTATCAGAATTATGCGGCATCAAGTCTGAAGGATTATTCCAACTTATCTTCCCCCCTTTGCCATTCCCCCTGCCAGTCTTCACAAGCCCCGTTGGGACCGAGGCCACCGTGGCTGCCATTGCCCTCGCAATTGCCCCCATCGTCGTCGAGGCCAACAAGTCGCTGGGAGGTGAGAGCCAGAGTGGCAGCAAACGTGGGGGGGGGGGGATAGCGGTGTTGGTTCATTGCTTTTCATGTGTGCCACCCTCGGGTGGCTCCATGACTGTAATGCTGCATCAGTGGCAATGTTGGCTGGCAGGTGTAGGCTCACCAAACGACATCCCTCCCCATCTGCAGATGACGAGGAGGAGTTCAACCCCATCCCCTTGTGATGGTCTTCTGCTTGCCTGAGAAGAATTCATGTTTGTAAGGACCTCCTCACCCGGCTAGTCAGTTTCTGGGGTCCCTTGAGGGTACAACCTTGCGCCCTGACAAGCCCAGGTATGCCCAAGTTATGGGCTCAGAGCTGCTTAGTTTGAGTGTCATATAACAAAACCGCATCAAGCTGGCAAGGACTCGTAGGCCAGCAGCTTATGAGCAGCTGGTTACCCGATGGGGGTGCATGAAGAGTAGCAATACAAACAAAAAGGACCAGAGGGGCTTGATATGAAGGCCAGGAGCAGGGCCGCAACCAGGGCAGTGGTACAGGGGGGCAATGGAACAGTGATGAGTCATAGGGTGGCTGAGCAGGGGAGAGGAAAATGCAGCAGGCCACACAGATGCATGTCAATGGCAAGAGCAATGCAAGCGATCACCCGGGCGCGCGCAGTCAGTCCCTGCCCTCCTGCGCCCGCGCCGCAGCGGGGCTGTCCTCCGGGTCTGGCCCGTTGCCCGGGGGAGTGGAAGATGTCCTGCCCCTGCGCCTCTTTCCAGCCCCACCCTCCTCCCTCTCGTCCTCGCCCTCCTCCTCCCTCTCGTCCTCGCCCTCCTCCTCCCCCAGCACCTCCCCAAGCTCCGCGCTGTCGATGAAGTGGTCGGAGATGGTGCTCCCCGTCAGCCGGAAGGCGCGCAGGACCGAGGAGCTGGGGTCCGGGAGCAGTGTGCGCCGCGGCGCGCCGGCCTCGTCCCGCGCCGCCAGCACGATGCGGCCCGGGATGAAGGGCTTGTACACCCCCGTCCTGCTGCGCTGCCGCCCGCCGGCCTCGGTGACGCCGTCGGGGTGCTCCCGGTTGCCCATGTGCTCCGCGGCGCCGCGCACGTCGCTGGCGGCGTGGGACAGCGCGCGCTCGGTGTCCTCCTTGCCCTGGCCGCCGCCGGCGCCGCCGCCCCAAGGGAAGAAGGAGCTCAGCGTCTGCATCAGCTCCAGGCCCTTGGGCACGCCCTCCTTCTCGGCCACGGGCTCCCAGTCGAATTCCACCAGGTCCTCCAGGAAGCTGGTGTGGCGTGGGGGATCGGGCGTTGGCGTGAGGGCAGGCGAGCAGCGGCAGCAGGCAGGGGGGTGGGGGAGAGCGGCAGATCGATGCGATGAGAAGCAGCGTGGACCGTGCCAACCCCCCCACCCCGACCGTGCTGGAGCTGCGGTCAGCATCGAGGCAGCTGGCGTTGCCTGACTGCAGCCACATGACCACGCTGCCCCTGCCAACGCGCCCCCCTGACGCATCGGACATGCCCTCGCACACAGGCGAGCCCACTCACGAGGCCAGCGATTCGGCGCACATGCGCGGCACCACGTCGTCGCCATGCACCAAGGTAAGCACGACGTCTGCGCGGGGCGGAGGAAAGCGCGGCGTGGGCTGGGCGAGCATGGCGGGGCTGGCACGAGCTGCACCACACCCTGGACGCACAAGACACCCTCTCGTGCCAGCCGACGGGCCCCTGTGGAAGGTGCTTCCACCCACACTCCATCCAGGGATCCGCGCTGGAGACTCCTCTCCTCCACCCCTCCCCTTCCCCGCCGTCGCCACGTCCCTTACCTTGGCAGTCCCGGGCGAGGCTCAGGTCCATGCAGGGCGGCGTCTCGTAGGCCACGCACTGCAGCCGGCGCGGGTCCATACCCTTGCGCTTGAAATAGGCGGTGAGCAGTGAGGCCACCCCCGCGCCCAGCGAGTGGCCAACGATGGTCACCTGGTACCCTGCCGGGGACAAAGCAGGTTGGGTGGGCGGGTGGGTGGGGGTGCTGACTTGGAGCGGCAGCACCTCCCAGGACCTGCCGCCAGGAAGGGCATGGCGGGGAGGGATCTCGGCCGCTCCAAGCTCTTCCAATGGGGAGGGGAGGTGCACCACCACCCCGGCCCCCGACCCTTGCCCCCCCCTCACCTGCTTCCTGCATGGGCATGAGGAGCGCACGGAAGCGGGCGCTGAGGTACCGCACCGCCTTGCACATGCCTGAGTGGCACAGGATGTCCTCGTCGTCAAAGGACTCGCCCGTGGCCAGCACGTCCATGAACACGTCCTCCGGGCTGGCGGTGCCGCGGATGACGAGCAGCACCTCCCGCCCTTCCTCGTGCACCGCGCAGAAGAAGGCGGGGCAGCCGGAGCCCATGTCCGGCTCGAACTCGGCGAAGAGCAGGGTGTAGCCTCGCTCCGCCAGCGCCTCGCTCAGGCTCGACTCGGTGACGGCGTCGTAGACCAGGACGGCGTACCGCCGGTACCGCCGCAGTGCGCGCAGGGCGTCGGGCGGGGCGGGGGTACCCTCCTCGATGGCCTCCGTCACGGGCGCGCGGCAGTGCTCGCAGTACATGTAGTACATGCGCGCCGCCAGCTCCTGCGGCTGCAGGTGATCGTGCGACAGCAGCTCTGCGATCTCCTCGTTGTCATCCCGCATCCTGGGCAGGCGAGTGCAGGGAGGGAGCGTGCTAGGGATGTGAGAGGGGTGCGCTGGGACTAGGCAGGAATTCCTGTTCTCCGGGGGGGTCGCCGTCCTGAGTACGTCAGAGGGCCAGCTGGGCGACGGCCTCGGCGGCTTTGGCGGTCCATCCGGGCAAGGCACAGTCTACAGCGCAGGCCTTGGCGCCGCTTCAGCTCGATGCAAGCACGCCATCCCCGGCGGTGACACAGAGACACATTCCCCACCCGAGACCCCATGCCTCACTTTCCAAAGGAGATGGCGAGCTGGCGCAGCACGCTCCAGGCGCCCGACTCCATGCCGTCCCCCTCCGGCACCCAGTCCCAGACTGACTCCTGCTCCTTGAAGCCGTGCCGGCGGGCGGTGATGACCAGGACGTAGGAGGCGCGCGCCAGTGTGCACAGCGCGACGGTCCGCCAGGCAATGCCCAGGGGCTTGCCCGGGCCCACCGCATACGCCAGGATGGCCAGCTCTGTGCCCACCACCACGGCGCCACCCTTGGGGGAGAAGGTGAAGGCCAGGCCCTCGACTGCACAGGGTTGTGTGATGTGTAGGGGCACTGCTTCTAACATCGGGGTGCAAAGAGGATTGCAAGACAGGTGCTGGGTATGAAATTCCAACCCAGAGCACGTCGGCGCGGTATGCCGCCATGCCGCCCCACAACCTACTCACTGAAGGCATGAGAGAGTCGGGCGATGAGCGTCGTGAGCATGCCCGCTGTAAAAATGGCAGCTTTGCCTGCGTTGCCGCGGTGGGCGACGGCCTTCTCCGGCATAGTGACGACCGTGCGATCAGACCCGCGGCAAGTTGTGAAGGAAGATGACCTTTGGGAAAAGAATCGTGCACTCCCCACATCTGCGCTGCCCTTGGCGCGCCAGGCCGATGGGCTTGATCTCCATGTCTCTTGATGTCGTGGATCTCCATTGCGGCCCCCGATCGTGTTTCGTACAGTGTACAGCCAAACGTCTCTGATATGGACAAGGACGGCAACTCTCACACCAGACAAGCATGATGGCCAAGGAGATGAGTTCCAGACGGAGGACCTGAGAGCGAGGGGGTGTGACACCCCCCGCGGCCCTGAAGTAAACTCAGAGCGAGGCGTCAAAGTCAAGGGACCGCACGGGGTCAAAAGTCACCCTGTCCAGCTCCCTCGCGGCGACATCTGCGGATAGGGGGATGTTGGCATGTGGAGGTGTTGAGCTGTGGTGTCCGTGCTTGTCATTGCGCCCCGAGGCATCGGATGCCACACGTGTGCCAGGCATTCAGCTGTTTCCACAACCCCCCCTTCCCCATGCCCACTCCCCAAAAAGCCCTGCCCCACACGCTCGCCTGTCACTGAGCAGGCGGGGTAGCGTATGCAGTAGTCCAAGGTGAATACCGTGAGGGGCACGGCCAGGAGCAGGCCCCAGACGCCCAGGGAGTGCTCGGCGAAGACCAGCACTGACAGCACCAGGAGCGGGTGCAGCTTGAGGTGCGCGGAGTAGATGGCTGGATTGAGGCCGTACGCCTCGACAAAGTGTACGCCCGTCACCATGACCAGCACCAGCGCCAGCTGGTGGATGTGTTGGGAGGGGGGGATTGAGGAGGGAGGGGCCGCATGGGGATCTCACGGGGCTGAGCAAGGTTGCCAGGGTGGAGGGGGCGGGGTCGACCCCGCGCCTCACAAACCACACCCGCGCACCTTGGTGAAGCCGTACTCTGTGAGCGCGACAAATGCGATGGGGAAGGTGGAGATGATGACGCCCGCGATGGGGATGAAGCCGCAGATGAAGACGAAAAGGGAGAGCAGGCCCAGGCCCGGGATCTGGAGCACCCACATGCCCAGGGCGGTGAGGCAGGTATTCACCACAGCGATCTGGGCCTGGCACTGCAGGGCCTTGCCGAAGAGGGTGGCAAAGACCTCCAGGGAGGGCGCCACGGTGTTGTAGATGGGGGCCAGACGGGAGGTGCGCAGAGAGGAGACGCCAAAGGCGATGGTCGGCAGGTCCCATACCATCATAAAGGACAGGATGAGGGACACACCCAGCTGCAGGATGGGGAGGGGAGAGGGAGGGGGGAAGGGGGAGTGTGAGAGGTGTGCAGGGCAGGTGGCACGAGGTCTGAGAGGGAGGTGGCGACGCAGGTGTTGTGGTGGTGAGTATGAAGGATGGAGGGACGGAGGCTGGGAGGGTGCAAGGACCTCGAAGGATGAAGATGGTTGCTCGTGGGAGGATGGGAACCCTCACTCGACGATGCGGGGACAGAGAAACAGCAGGAGCACAGTGAAAGCATGTTGAAAAATCGAGGCAAACGTCGCCTGCTCAGGCTAACAATGCACGCGTGTGTCCAAAAATGGCCTCAGATTCGCCTTTACTGTCAGCATATGCCACGCACTGGGTGCTGCGGCGGTGACCCGGGCACAGGGGGGGACCCAGCAGCGGCCGAGGAGGCTGCCGCGCAGGCCCCCTCTGCGCCCCAGGGAACGAGGGGGAGGGGCGAGCACGGGCGCACGGTGCCTCGGCCACGCCGCCACCTTCCCTCCTAATTCGCCCCTGCCGGTGAGGGCAAGGGAGAAAGGAGGGAGGGCAGCATGGCCGAGGCGCCACCCAGGGCCCCTCCAGTCGTTCTTAGATTACTGATACTCTCTTCATGGGCAGGGAAAGGGGACAAAACCAAAGCTGCCAGGGCCAAATCAAGAAGAGAGACGAGGGTGGTATCAGACATGTTGGCATCCTTTGTGCAAACGATGTGGGCACAGTGTGGGTAAGAAAGTCACGACTGCCTCCAGCCTCCCAAAGACTGTGAGCCGGCGGCATCAAGAGGAGCTACCCTGCCACACTCCAGGTCTTTCTTACCAGCCCCTCCATCCGATGCCACAGCTTAATTCCATTCTCAAATTCCCCTTCCACACCCCCGCCCAAACAAGACCTGGATGGCAAATCGGGAGGTGAAGGACAGAATCTCCGTGGTGAAGGTGGCTGCGGCATTGGTGTACTGCCGCAGTACCTTCTGCAGCGCCACTCCCAGGTACTGCGTCCGCGCTGTCCCGATGACCTGGCGTGGGTGACGATGGGTGTGTAGTCGGGATGTTGCTGCGAGCGCAGGCACGCCCCGCGCGGCAGACCCCCGCAGCGCCTGTGCCACCTGGATTTGAGACACCTGGGCGACAGCACCCCCTCCCTAGGATCCCACGCCCTGCCCCGCCGCGCTCTCCCACACTCACCGCATCCAGCTCAGTGTAGTTGATGGCGTGTGTCACGTCCTCGCTGGAGGCGATGAGGAGGAAGCGCTCCATGGCGTCCATCACGCCATCACTGTTTTGGGTGGAAGGGATTTTGAGGGAGGTTGGTTGGTTGGTTGGGGCAATGGAACGTGGGGTGGGCGGCCAGACATGGGCACATGTCGAATGGTCGATCTGAGAAGCGCAGCGCCGGTAGTGCAACCATGTCGGATTCTGTCATTACAGCTTGCAGTAGAAATTTTAGCCGTGAGTCAGCTTCCGTAGCCCTGTATGGGTCCCAAACCCTGTGATTGTCACGGCTCCCTTCCCCATCTGCACCAGTCCCCAAGCACCCCAGCCTTTCTCCTGCTCCACCGCACCAATCCACGACAACCCATCCAAGTAAAAGTCACTCACCCTAGGCCATCGCGCATCTTCTGCAAGACCACCACCCAGATGTTGTCGGTCTGGAGGCGCTGAACAAAGTCGAAACCTTCGCGCACAACATCCGGGATGATGAGGACGCCAAAGAGGCAGAACATGGAGATGATGGCGATGAAGTAGGCAGAGACCAGGACGTGCCGGCGCGCGCTGGGCGTCAGCCGGCGCAGCAGGGGGGTGTTCTGGGCCGAGTTCACGAAGCCGTTGCCGATGAAGGATACGATGAAGGTGCCCATCATGATCTGGCGAGCGGGGTTGGGTTGGTGGTGGGAGGGGTGGGTGCTTGGGGTTCTGAGTTGAGGGGAATGGCAGGCACCAAGCATCCCATCGCCACCCATGTAGGTCTTGCTCCCACCAGGCACTGACAGGTTCCCATCCGTTCTTCCTCCTCGCCGCCAAAGAGACTCAGCACCACGCACCCCAAAGAATTCGCGCAGCTGGTAAAACGTAAAGGCGGCCGCCGCCCAGGAGGCCAGCTTGGGCCAGGGCAGGTTGATGCCGGCATCCACCACGTCTGACAGGCTGCGTGCCGGCCCCTGCCCTGCTGGGGCCCTGGATAGGGAGGGCTGTGCCGTGCCGGTGCTTGCGCCAGACAGGTCTTCAGGATCCAGCGCACCGCCATTGGAGGCGTGCGGCCGATGGCGGGCTGGGATGCACGTCCTGGTCGGCGGGACCGTTCGGAGCTGGGGGGTGAGGCTGGGGGCACACCCCCTCGAGGCCCTCCCCAGGAGGGCGCCGCGGGGCGTCGTGAGGTACAAGGTGCATTGCATGGCCATTCCCTGGCGCCCGGGGTTCCCCTGTCCGCTGAGGCAGCAGGTGACACCGGGGGGCTCAGCACATCCTACGTGCGGGCTGGGGCGCCGCGAGACTGTCAGACGGGGTGCATGTGTCGGATTTCGAGATCGGTGGGCCCTGAGGAGGAATGATGATCTTTCGACACCATCCCCATGCCAAGCCGGGGATGGCTGGAAGATGCTGCTCAGGGAATGATGGCGCGATGGGTCTCCCTTCCCGGAGCATGCTCGACAGCAGGGAATTCGCGCCCGGGCGCGAACAAGCTCCCATTGCTTGGCAGTTGTGAGGGCTGCAATGCATGTCCACAGCCGACATATTCAGACGGATCATCTCAACACATTTTTCTTAAGCGACACCTCCTTGCCCCCGGCCTGACCAGCTTGCATGTGGCTGGAGGACGTCCTCCTGGGGGCCTTGAGCGACGGTGTCAACGTGGGAGCATGGGGACTGGGGATTTTGCACGAGAGGATGTAAATGTGCTGTGGCATGGAATTTCGAAAGGAGAGCCGCGCCCAGAGTGTGCAAGCGATGTGCTCGTAGTTTTACAGGAGCCCCCCACCATGCCCACATCCCGAATCTTGAGTGCAGAAACCCACGCTGATCCTGCTGAACGTGGTGCTGACCGCCTGCGCGCTCACCCTGCTTGGCCTCCTGTACGCTGTGGGGGGAAGCTCGCCAGACCTCCTCCTGCACCTGGGCGCCGTGCTCCTGCTGGCAGTCGGCCTCACTGCCTCCATCAACTGGTGGGCGGCTGCTTTGGGGGTGTAGGGGGGCGGGGGGAGGAGATTGCATTGTGCCGACATCGTACCTGAGTGAGCACGCAGTGCGTTTGGTGCTGCCGTGCCCTGGTGCCCCTGGTGCCGCCCCATACCCTCCCCTCTCATCCTCCCCACAGGCTGGTGATCCAGACCGGGACGACGGCCGTGGAGGAGCAGCGCAAGGCCATCTTTGGCGAGGGCGACGCGCGTGAGAAGCCGGAGTGAGGAAAGATCCTCGGCGGCACACCGGAGCGCGAGCCGGGCGCCATGCTGGGCCGGTGGGCTGTTCACGGCACGCGCTTATCACGCGCCTGCACGGGACGCGCCTTCCACTGCACCCCGCCCACCCGTGACCGCATCGCCGTGGGCATCTCCGGCGGCGTGGACTCCGCGGTGGCGGCACTGCTGCTGCAGCGCGCGGGGCACGATGTGCAGGGCCTGTTCATGCGCAACTGGGACGAGGGGGAGGAGACCGGGAACCGCAACTGCTCAGTGGAGGCCGACGCGGCCGCAGCGGCGCGCGTCTGCCGCCACCTGGGCGTCCCCCTGGCCGAGGTGGACTTTGTGAGCGAGTACTGGACGCGCGTTTTCGAGGGTTTCCTGGCGCAGGCGGGGCGTGGCCTGACCCCCAACCCCGACCTGGCCTGCAACCGCCACATCAAGTTCGACCTGCTGGCGGAGCGCGCCGCCGCGCTGGGCTGCGGCGCCCTGGCCACGGGGCACTACGCGAGGCTGGAGCCCGGCGACCCGCCACGCCTGCTGCGCGCGCGCGACGCGGCGCGCGACCAGACCTACTTCCTGGCCTCGGTGCGGCCTCAGGCCCTGGCCTACGCGCGCTTCCCGCTGGGCGGCCTGACCAAGCCCGAGGTGCGCGCGCTGGCGGCGGGCGCGGGGCTGGCCGAGGCGGCGGGGCGTCGCTCCTCCGCCGGCATATGCTTCGTCGGGCGGCGCCGCTTCGGCGCCTTTCTGGAGCAGTACCTGGCGCCGCTGCCCGGGCACTACCGCGACGTCGACTCCGGCGCCGACCTGGGCCCCGCCGCCAACCTGCTGGCGCTCACCCTGGGCCAGCGCGCGTCGGTCGGCGGCGGCCCGCAGCGGGCCTACGTGGCAGGCAAGGACGTGTGCGCGCGCGTCGCGCACGTCGCCAGCGGCCCGGACCACCCCGCGCTGCGCTGCCGCGCCGCGCTCCTCCGGTCGCCGCACTGGCTGGACGGCGGCGCCGCCGCCGCGGCGCTGGCGGACGGCGGGGAGCTGCGCTGCCTGTACAAGGCGCGGTACGGGCAGGAGCCGCTGCCCTGCACGCTGCGCGCGCTGGGGATGGGGGGGTTCCGGACGAGCGCGCTGTGCACGCTGCTGGAGGAGGACGAGCTGATCGGGCCGGGCTTCCTGGTCGCGCACTTTGACGAGCCCGCCCGCGCCATCACGCCCCAGCAGGCCTTTGTCATGTACGACGGCGAGCGGTGCCTGGGCAGCGCCCTCATCGCCAAGCCGGGGCCCAGCCTGGCCGAGGAGGCCGGGGGGGGGTGGCCTGGATGGCGCACGCCCGGCAGCAGCGGACGCCTGAGAGGGCCTGTAATTCTGCATGCACGACGCTGACTGTGTGCGGCGGGTGGCAAATGTCGAGCACTCATGCATCCTGCCCTGAACCTCTGAGGTGCGCTGGTGTAAATTTAGGGACGCGGGGCCTCCTGACCTCCTTGATCGTGGGAGGGGGGCCGGGGATGGAATGGACCATCACCGCGCCCTGTGGGGAGATTTTCGAACGCTGAAGGAGCAGATGCCCGGCTCGCGATCACGCTCGCACTCCTCGTGGCGCATTTCCAGAAACAGCACCCGCAGGATGAGACGAATGGAAACAATCGCATTGTGCTGTATTCCAACACAAGCTGTGCGGTGCATGGCACTGACTTTTACGAATTGATCACAAGGACCATAATAAGCCATGACCGTGCCCAACGAGTACGAGCGGCAAAGATTGGCTCGAATAGAGCGAAACGACAAACTATTAAAGGTGTGGTGGTGGCTCCCGGGTGTGATTGAGGCACAGGATTTAGTTGCTTTAAGAGTTATCCGCAAGACCCTGCTGCCCTAACCTTCACAGGAGCTTGGCATACAGAGGTGTCACACAACTGTGGCAGCTAGACCTCCCAAGTCCACCCGTCCCCGTGTCAAGCCAGACAACCTTCCAGATGAGGGGGGACCACGCCGGCGCTCCCGTAGGCTTCAGGGATCTGAGGCGGATCTGGGTGACGACGTGACTGGCCAATCTCAGTTGGCTCCCAAAAGGTACCCGTCCATGTGCAGCCCGGTCGGCTGTGGCGCAGGGCCTGCTCCAGAGTGCCACTGGACAGTGATATGCATGACAAGGCGGTGGAGATGGGAGTTCAGCACCCAGCCCCCCGGCACCCCCTCCTATGCAAACACAGCATGGATCACCGCGGCGGGGTGAAGGCGTATCGGCCCCCGCCGGCGATGGACGAGTCGGCTCTGGATGCACACAACGTGCACCGCTTCAGGACCATGTCCCACGCCGCGCTGCAGAAGCGCATCTGGAAGATCAGGCGGCCGGAGAAGCTCCGTTCGTTCATCAATGTGAGTGGCTTTGTGCGTGTCAGGATGCAGTGACGGCGGACGCAGAGGTCCCCCAAGATTGATGGAGAGAGTCCCAAGGCAACAGGCACTGACACCGCCTTTGCCCTCTGCTTCCCACGCAGGTGCTGGAAGGCTTCCAGGAGGCCGAGCTCGCGGAAGAGGCTCGGCTGGCCCTGGGCGAATTGGAAGGGAGTTGAGTCCTATTCTGAGAAGCGCTATCATGGCCCTGACCCGGCTCGGCTGGCCCAGACAGGCACGCCTGCCGCGGCCCTCGAGTGTGCTTGCCACGTTACATGGCACTCTCCAAACAGTGCGAGCAGCTGCTGGGGACCCGCTCCCCTCAGCTGCCGGGGCGGCGATCTGACGGGCACGGCCCACCGGCATCACCCCGCTCAACGGCTCACTCCCAACCCCGAGTCAGGCCAGGCCCAGGTGCCCTCCCTGCAGCATTGCGGTGGCCTTGCGCAGCGCGCCCAGCGTGCCCCACATGGACGCCAGGTTGACGGCCAGCGCACCGCCCGCCACGCGCACCGCCAAGCGGCCAGCGCCCACCTGGCCCTGGCAGGCGGAGGGCAGGCGATCCAGGTAGGCCGCGGTGCGCTGGTGCAGGCTGGGCAGGGCCAGGGCTTTCTCCCACTTGTGGCGCCAGGCACGGGCCGTCTCGCTAGCGTCGTGGATGCGGTCGTCGGAGTAGCCGGCTTCCTGGCGCCGCAGCGCGTCGGCGGTGCGCTTGGCGTTGGCCCGCGTGGACTGCAGCGCCAGCCGGTTCCCGGGGTCGGCGCCGCCGGGGTCCAGCCCAGACAGCAGCGCCAGCGCGTCCTTGTGGGTCAGGGGGGTAGATTGGGAGCCCAGACGCTCCTCCACTTTCCTGAAGAATTGTAACGGAAGGGATGGTGGTGAGAAGGGAATAAGGGAGGGGGTGCTGTCAGCCCGGTAGGGAGTGAAACACAGCACTGATCCAAACCTGGACTTCAGAGGAGCAAGCCCCCACAAAAACAACGCACCTGATCAGGCCGGAGGTGGCGGCCATGGCACGCTCCAGGTTGCTGAGCAGCTGCGGGTACTCCTTGGCGGTCAGGGCCTCGCTGCCGGTCTCATGTGCCTCCAGCCGCCTGATGGTCTGCGTAGGGGAAGAGGGGAGGGGGCATGGGATCGGGACCAGGAGATTAAGTCAACTTAACTCTCATCGTAGCTTGGTAAGGCCGATGTAGCCGCACGATGCCGCCACAGTCTGCATCATCAGTTGGGCCAGATTCTCTTGATTGAGCAGGGCCACCCCTGCAGCACGGCTGGAGCACATGCCATCGCTGAGGACCCCTTCACCCCTCCTGCACCCAACATCCCACCTCCTCGGTGGCGGCGAAGAGCACCTCCAGGTGGGCCTCCAGCATCTGGGCGTCCTCCACGCTCAGCTCCGCCCTGACCCTCTGGCTCAGGGCGTGCAGCTTCCCGTCGCCTTCCCGGCGCTGCCTGGTCAGCTGGCGCAGGACCTGCTGGGCGTGCTGCTTGAAGCGCGCCACCTCGGCCTGGATGTCGGACGCGTCCGACAGGCGCCAGGTGTGCAGCAGGTGGTAGCGCCGCAGCTTGTCGGCGGCCTCCGGCCCCGACAGCAGCGAGGAGTCGTGCTGGAACTCTGTCAGCGTGTGGTCCATGGCTGCCTGCGGGGGTGTTGGCTGGATGCGCGTCGGGGCTCCTGGCCAGCGAATCGGGTGGCTGGCACGCACTGCCACCCCACACCCTGCGGGAGCCCGAGGCCCCCACAATGGGAAAGTACAGGGCCCCGCATACCCGCGATCGCAAAATCCTGGCTGCCGCGTTTTCTTCCCCATGCCAGCACTCACCATGCGCAGCTTCAGGACGTCCAGCACAGCACTCTTCTGGCCGCTGGCCTCGTCCATGTCCATTGCCAGCCGCTCCTGCTGGAGCTCCAGCTGGGCCATGGCGCAGTCGACCATCATGGTGCGCGACACCTGCGGGGATGGCGCGACATCGCTCTCATTACCTGTTGCCGGGGCCCGAAGGGGTGGAGCAGTACCACCCGCCCGTCATCTACTCCCAAAGCATGAGTCCACCCTTCACCTCATCTCATTCCCATTCCAAGATACCCATGTGCTCAGAGCAGAGCAAGCTAATCCCTGCCTCATACCTGGGACAGGAACTCCCAGGCTATGACCAGCCAGAGCAGGCTCAGGACAAACTGGGCTGCGGCGGACTTGAGCCCATAGTTCAGGTGCACCCATAGTCCCAGGAAGCCGCTGAACAGCAGCAGGCCCCCAAGCACCAGTCCATGGACGGCCAGAGACGCCTCAGGCTGTATGGAGGAGATGACGGCTAGGCAGGGCCCCAGCAGAATCTGTGGGGCCGGGAAAGGGACTCCTGGACAAAACAGACAGTGACCGTGAAGGAAGTCACGTCTGTGGAGGACCCACAGCCGCGTGTACAGCGCAATGCAATGAATTCTTTCTCCTTATCCAAGAGTAACGGGAATGTCAGGACTTGGCAAAGCACCGGCCCATGCTCTGCTACATCGCGCGCCCGCGGCGTACCTGAGCTGCGTGCAAGGCAAAGGGCCACCAGCTGCCTGTCTTGCGCCGGCCCCGGGCAGACCCCTTGGGTACGACGAAGTTCATTGGTTAGCATTACATTATTCCTGGCGCGACCGCGAGGTGTCAAACATGCGCCATGAAAGGTTACGGGCGGGGAGCCACGTGGGTCCCATGGGTCACGCCAAGGTGCAAGCCGCAACTCTTCTTGCAATGCACTTGAGGACCTCGGATTGGGAGACAGGCAATATGGCTGGTGTGGTAAAATAGGTTTCCACTCGTCTTTGATCAGCACAAAGTATCATCTTGTCGTCCTACACTTGCCCTACAAGGAGCTACCACCTTGAAAGTTTGTGGTAGACGCGAGATGGGCACGCCGATGCAATACTTGCTCAAACCGACTCCATAGATTCCATCTCACACATAAGCATAACATGAAAAGTTCAGCATTGGTCCGTCCTGCATGCACGCTTGGGCTGCGCAGCATCGGCAAGGTCCCTTGCCTTGTGGCATGAGGCCAGGCGAGCTCAGTTGTCTATCCCCAGCTCCCTTGAATGGGCAATGAAATTAGACGATTGCATGCATAGGCAGACATCGCAATAATCCTGCATTGCCCCGTGGTGCGGGATATACCTCCCGCACTCCGTAAGTGATCTGGCAGTCCCCCTGTGGAAAGGGGGACTCTGTGCCCATCGTCTCGGGCGTGGCAAAAGGTGCCCACGCCCCGGTTCCCGCTCCATACCGCGTAAAATCACCTTGGCACCGATGACGGTGTCGGCATGACTCGCCAGGGCAAGAGGGCAAGGGAGCACAGTCGAACACCCAGGAGCCCCGATAAGGTCTCACGTCAGGCCTCAGAAGCGCCCCTGCCCACCCCAGCCCAAGACCAGGGCCCCACAGCCCCTTCCACCGAGCACAGACTCACCCGACATCGGGCCAGGGTCTCTGGCGAGACACCCCTGCCCGCCCAGCCCGAACCGGAGCGCCTGGCACATCACCAACCTCGGGAGGGGGCCCAGGCCGACCATCAGCCAGGCATGGACAGGAAGTCCAGCGCCGGAATGCACGTGAGATTGACCAGATGGGGGTGGGGGATCGGGGAGTAAAGTAGAGGTTTGGTGCCCGCCCTGCACATGGCTCCACCCCCTTGGATCCCAGGTCCCCCTGCACCCTCCGGTGGGTCTGAGGGGGAGGCCATGCAGCGACCTTGCTGCATGGTCACTCGCATCTCCCCCTCCCCAAAAAAACAATTCCCCGTTTACTCCCCAGCATGAGGAGGAGGAGGAGGAGGAGAGGCTGCAGCGCGGGCACAGTGCGCTGCAGGGCCTGCTGCGCCGGCTGGGCGCCGGGTTTGAGGACGTGTTCCACACCGGCGCCTCGTCCGCCGCCGGCGGCGGCGCGTACCACCCCGGCAACGCACGCGTACGCGCCGCGCTGGGCCAGCTGCGCTCCCACGACGCCGGCGAGCAGCTGGCTGGGCTGGCCGAGCTATGCGAGTACCTGGCGGTGTCCACCGAGGAGAGCCTGCTCACCTTCCCCGTGGACACCGCAGTGCCCCTGCTGGTGAGCGTGGAGGGGTGATGCGATTGAGGGGCGGACGGATTTCGATGGTGGCGGGCATGGTAGCGAGTGTTGAAACTGGGATTCTGGCGAGTGGAGGAGTACCACATCATAATGACAGTCCCCCTTTCAAACTTCCTGTGACGTGTGGTCTGCGGCGCACGACCCTTTCACCATGGGGAACCAGTGCTGCATCCACAGAGCGGCACAAATTTAGAAGCAGATCCTGGAGTCTACACTGGTCCCCTCATCCATCACTTGAGTCTCCATGCACCCCAATGGCCCCTCTCTTCACACCCACCCACTTCCCAGATCAAGTGCCTGAACGAGGAGGGGGAGCCGGACGTCGCGCTCCTGGCGGCGCGCGCCCTGACCTTCCTGGCCGACGTCTCCGGCCCCGGCGGCGCGGCGTTGGTGCGCCACGGCGCCCCCGCCGCGCTGGTGGGCCGCCTGCTGAGCATCGAGTACATCGACCTGGCGGAGCAGGCGCTGCAGGCCCTGCAGAAGCTGGCGGGCGAGCACCCGGGCGCACTGCTGCGCGCCGGCGCGCTGGCGGCCGTGCTCGCCTACCTCGACTTTTTCCCCCTGAGCGTCCAGCGCGTGGCGGTGGACACCGCAGCTGCGCTTTGCCGCGCGCTGGGTGCCGACGCGCTGGAGGCCGCGGCCGCCGCGCTGCCGTCCCTGCTGGGCCTGCTCCAGTCGCAGGACGCGCGGCTGGCGGAGGGCGCGGGGCGCGCAGTCGCGCGCATGGCCGAGCGCTACGCGCGCGACCGCGACGCGCTGGCCACGCTGTGCGCTCTGGGCCTGGTGGACGAGGTGTATGCGGTGGTGGCGGCGCGTGCGGCGGGCGAGGGCGGCACGGGGGGTCCGCCCCCGGCCGCCTTCCACGGCCTGGTGCGGCTGCTGGCGCAGTGCGGCGCGGCCTCGCGCCACGCCGTC